CATTAGTATATTGTGTGCCTTGTCAAAGATATTGGAAAAAATTGTTTATATGCAATTGGTAAAATATTTTGAAGAGTACAACATATTTCCAAATTGTCAGTCTGGTTTCCGTAGTGGTCACAGCACAACATCTGCATTATTATACGTAACTGATGAGATTATCTCTAACTTAGACAATCATATTTACACTGTGCTGGTGTTGTTAGATTTCTCAAAGGCATTTGATACGGTTAACCACGAAATGCTTCTATCCAAATTAAAATACTACGGACTATCTGACGTTCCTCTTTGCTTTTTTAAATCATACTTAAATAATCGCAAGCAACGAATAAGAACAAGCCAAGGAGTTTCTCTTAGTGCCGATGTTGCTTCTGGTGTTCCTCAGGGTTCCGTGCTTGGTCCTTTACTATATTTAGTTTATACTTTTGACTTGCATACTGTATTACAGTTTTGTAGTATTCATACTTACGCAGACGATACACAATTGACCTTCACTTTTGACTCTACTAATGTGGATCAAGCTTCGTATAAAATAAATTTAGATCTGGTAAATATAACTGACTATTGCAAGGCTAACTGTTTGAAGCTCAATCCTACCAAGAGTTTTGCGGTGTTGTTCTGTCCCAAAACCAGCTATGAGCATTTTGAAAGGATGATTGATTTGAGGGTAAATAATAAACATATTCCACTCGTCACGCATGCAAAAAGTCTAGGTGTTACTTTAGACGTAAATCTTAGATTTCATCAGCACGTCAGTAATATATCTAAAGCTACATATGCAAGCCTAAGACTCCTATACTCCAATCGTCCTATTCTCAATTTCAAGACTAGAAACAAATTGGTGGAAAGTTTAGTTATGTCTAAGCTGCTTTACTGTTTTATACTGTTTTATCCTTGTCTTGACTCCATAACAAAAACCAGATTGCAGAAAATTCAAAATTGTTGTTGTCGTTTTGTTTTCGGCCTTCGTAGGTATAGCCATGTTACATCCAAGATCTGTGAGCTGGGGTGGCTGAAGCTTAATAATCTTTTCAAGTTTCATATGTTGGTTTTTGTACATAAAACAGTCGTTACCAAGAGACCTATTTACCTTGCAAATAAGTTAGTTCCGCGTAGGAATTTAATTTCAAGAAGGTTACGTCATGATGAACAGTTCAATATTCCTCTTCACTACACCTCATTATATCAGAGATCTTTCACGTATAATGCTGTTGAGCTTTACAATTCAGTCAGTGCGGCTAACAAACAAGAAAGTTTACTCTCTTTTAAGAAATCAGTTGGAAAACAGCTATTGGAGATGCAATCGTCTCTCAGTGTTTGAGTTGTTGGTTTGTTTTATTTTTATGACACTTTATTATTATTATTATTATATTAATAGTTCAAGAGTGCATTTGTTTCTTTTTCTTATTATTACTATTGTTTGTTTGTGTATCGAGTTTAACTGTGTTACACACACAGTGAGGTTAAGTGTAAGAGTAGCCATTTGGCTAAACTTCGCCTCACTGATGTATGCTGATTAATAAAGACATTTATTATTATTATTATTATTATTATTATTATTATTATTATTATTATTATTTAATTTACACTATAGACTTAGATTCATGTGTGGAATTTTGTTCTATACAAACGTATGCTGATGACACACAATTATCATTTCACTTCATATATGCTCAGTTAAATGAAGTGTCGTTTAAAATTAATACTGACTTAATCAGTATTACGGATTTTTGTAAAAAGCACTGTCTCAGGATCAATCCTGAAAAGAGTTCAAGTATGTTTTTTTCTCCGAAACACATGTATAATAACATAAAGGACGCAATTGTACTCATTATAAATAACGAGCGCATCCCCATGGTAGAACATTCTAAAAACCTGGGTGTTATCTTGGACTCTAACTTGAAGTTTGATAGACACATCGGTTACCTGTCTCAAAAAACATATGCCAAATTAAAACTTTTATACTCCAATCGTTTCATTTTAAACTTTAAGACTAGGAAAAAATTAGTTGAAAGCTTGATCCTGTCATCTTTGGAACATTCTCTGATTTTATTCTATTCTTATTTGGATTCGTCGGATCGGTATAGGTTACAAAAAATTTAAAACGGCTGCTGCAGGTTTGAGTTTGGACTTCGTAAATATAGTCATGTCTCTTCGAAGATTAAAGATTTAAAATGGTTAAAGATGGAATCACAGTTTGTTTATGCTATGAAGGTGTTTGTCCATAAAGTAGTTCGCACAAAAAAACCACCGTACATTTTAGAAAAGCTAGTACCAAGAGGTAACATTAATCAGAGAAATCTCAGACACAACCTAAATATGTCGCAGTACAACAATAGTGCCTTTCAGGAGACTCGTTAAGAAACAGCTGATGGGATATTAATAGTTCAAGTGTGCATTTGTTTCTTTTTCTTATTATTACTATTGTTTGTTTGTGTATCGAGTTTAACTGTGTTACTCTTTCGTACACAGTGAGGTTAAGTGTAAGAGTAGCCATTTGGCTAAACTTCGCCTCACTGATGTATGCTGATTAATAAAAACATTTATTATTATTATTAATTTGTGTTACTCAGTATATGATGGCTCTCTGAATATTCCGTCGAGTAGATTGACTCAGTACTTGTTACGCATTGATATACATCAGACACGCACTGACAAACCGTCATAAATGAGAAACACAAACTTGTGTGACGCAGAATATCTTTAAGCAACGGAAAACTTGTAAACTGACGTTCGAATGTTATGGTTCGTGTTAGAGTTCGGCAGGTAGTCTCAGATTTTGAAAAGTGATTCAGTGGCGGCGAAACAACGGACAAAAAAATAAAAATCGCTAGAACATACATCATACTCTTACAACGTTTCTGAGATTCCTGTTCATTTTCAGACATTTGGCCGGGTTGAACATTTTAGGTTGCAAGCTGTAAGAGGGAAATAGTTGTTTATTTTATATATTCTGATATGTAGGGGTATAAGATTCATTGTACCTAAGTGAACCTAGCTAATCACGATTCGATTCCACCTTTTCAAACGACTTGACTCACTTTTCTTTGAAAGCTTCAACGAATGCGTAGGAAGTATAGAGTCAATCTACTTCATGCCATTTTTTGTAACTTCCTTTATTTGGGTACACAGATAACATGATACATATATAAAAACCTATTGGATATTTTGAATTACCTAGGAAACACCTTCACCTGTAACAAAATCTATTTAACATACAATAAAGGCTGTCGCTTTTGTCGTCCATAAGATCGTAACGACTAGTTCCCAGTACAATAATTTGTAATAATTAAGTAAATGTGTGATAAATACTAAAGATGATTATTTGTCCGTGTAATTGAGAATAATATCATAGCTAATTGTGAGACAGCTTCATTTGCTTATTCCCTAACTAGATGCATATTATATTCAATGAGTAATGAAGCATTAAATCTGTATGGCTAATCATATTATTAATGGAGCTTAGAGCATAATATGTATACAGCATGCTACCACGAGTATTGTACATACAAACTAAATTTCCTAAAAAATGTCATAGTTACTAATCTTAAAGAAATAATTTATGTTTTTGTCTTTAATAATTCTTTACATACATTACACTAACTACATAATATTAGCTTAAGTATACCAAAATCATCGTTTAAAATATCATCATAACCAATAATATACATTTTTACAGATTAAAAATGCATTATACGATCTTTAAACTGCAAAAATTTATCGTTTACAAGTACTTGTGCAACAAAAATCATCACATTAAACTAGGTTTCTGTCTAAGGTAACGTTAAAAAGTATTAGTGCTTCAGGCCGTAAGTTGTTATTTTTGTTCTATTGTCTGTTTTTTTTTCAAAATGTTGGAAAAGACATTATTTGTTTTATGTTTGATATACTAAGGGTGGATTTCAGCATGCTTGTCAAATCAACAGTCCGTTATTCTCCACCTATAGGGGAAACAGTCCGTCAAATACAGCGAATGAGCTTCAAGTTCTAATCAACAAGTTTAGCAACCAATAGCTATAAAATGTAGAAAACAAAATACTGTCAAAGTATGAGATGGCAGGTTGTCATTGAAACATCACCAGCTTATTGAATATCAAGAAGTTACATATAATTTAGCCAAATTTAAAAAAGTGTTCGACTTTTGAATAAAATTCATGTTTTTCTTTAATATTGTCGATTGTCTATTCATGTTTATATTATTTTCTTCAATTGGTATACGATCTTACTGATTCAACATCACCTACCATGCGTTTTTTCTTATAAACCTCTTGCAGATAGCCATTAAGCACCTACTTGATGTCAGGCCCTACCAAAAATTTCATAGATATTGCTCGTTTCCAAACATTCATTCATTCACTTGCCGTTCATCAGTACCATTGTGGCAGCGTCGATTAATATTCCTACAAAACCATTCAGGATATTTGATATCCATACATCCATAAAGTCAAATATTTTTGGTTGTTCAGAAACTGAACAAACATTCACACTATATTTACAGCGATTAAGAAATACTCAAATATATGTCGTAAGGCTACCGGCAAACAGGATACGTGCAAAAAATAGAATTTGCAATAACTTTCTTGTTTCACTGAGTACACATTCTAGGTTATATTTATATTAGACATTATTTGAATAACAGCTGATTATTACATTTCAAAGCTCCCCAACGAGTGACATTTCCAAAAATAGTTGCACAACGCTTGAAAAAATACAAATGAAAATTTAAAATTATTTCCATGCCGTCCGATCCTATATTTAGAAGTATCGATATTTTTGCTTCCCATACCCATACGATACTTGGGTGTATCGATACATTTCAGGAGTATCGTCATCTTTCGATCCGGACTGTGTCAGAAAGAGTGACGAACTTCAGATTACTTTTCTTCTTTGTTGCCTTCCGCTGGATATCGATAATTTTATTCCAATATTTTAGAGTATCGATACTTCCTAAAACGATGAGAATCGATACATATCGATACTTTTCGTGGATTTAAACATCCCTAATCTTGACAGCTTGTCGTTCTTGTCAACTGGGCTGCAGGGTGCGGTGTTGCCTTTACTATCTTACATTTTGCTAAAATCCGGAAAACCGCATACTATCGGAGAGAAGTTAATTTTACCAGCCGTTGAAGAGGTTTTAAAAATTGTTTTACACAAACCTGCATCTGATATCATTAAAAGAATTCCCTTAAGCAACCATCCTGTTGAAAGACGTATTGATGAAATGAGTTCTGATATTGAAAGCTTCTTATGTAATTATTTGCAAACGACCCATTTCTCTATACAACTGGACGAGTCAACTTTACCTGATAATGCAGCATTATTATTGGCATATGTTCGTTTTATTATGAATCAAGAAATCTACGAAGAACTGCTCTTCGCAAGAACTTTGATAACCGACACTAAAGGTGAATCAATATTTCATATTTTGAAGGATTACTTCATTGAAAAATCAATTCCTTTATGAAATATAATATCAGTAGCTACAGATAGAGCACCTGCCATGGTTGGACGTTATCGTGGATTTATAAGCTATTTAAAACAAAATGTGTCAGGGGTGTTAGCAATACATTGCGTCATCCATCGACAACATTTAGTTGCTAAAAATTTGAGTGTTAGATTGCATGAATCACTTCATTTAGTCATTGATGCAGTAAACCGAATCCGAAGCAACGCGTTGAAAACGCGGTTATTTGCGCCGTTGTGTGAAGAAAATGACGAACACTTTCATCAATTACTCCTTCACACTGAAGTACGCTGGCTGTCGAAAGGCTTATGTTTGACAAGATTTTTTGCACTTTTTGAGACTATTTTAGAATTTCTCGATACTAAAGATAAAATTTTAAAAGAAAATTTAATGAAGAGGAAAACAGACAATCGCCTATTTAACAGATTTGTTTACAAAATTTAATATGGTTAATTTGTAATTACAAGGCGACAGTTTAAATTTCTTATCAGCGTTTCTTGCCAGAGTTAAACTAATGAACCAAAATATTGGACGGGGCGAATTTTCTCAGTTCCCCAATTTGTCACAGACAAGCTGCCAGGAAGACGATGTTTCAACTTACGTTCAACATTTAAATGCCCTCTATTCAGATTTTGAATCTAGGTTTGAGGATATTTTGAGTATGGTAATACCACCGTGGATAATTAATCCATATGGTGACATAGAAGAAACGAATGACATAATACAAGAGGAACTGACTGAACTAAGTACAAATGAAGAACTTAAGGTACAGTTTAAAAACGGATATCAGCAATTCTGGCTGCAAAACAACATACCCGTTACTTATCCCGTATTATGGAATATAGCGAGGACATTTTTAATTTCCTTTCCATCGTCATACCTAGTGGAAAGGGGGTTCAGCGCTGTTACCAATCTCCTAACGAAAAAAAAGAAACAGACTGGACAGCATTAGCCGAGGAGATTTAAGATTAACCCTTACAAAATTGACGCCAAATGGTGATAATTTATTATTAAAGCATCAGGTTCATCCTTCTCACTAAAAATATTGACTTATTGCTTATGTTATTTTATCTATAGTTTATTTTATGTTTATTGGTGTCTGACCAATAAATGCCCGCATTGGGAATAAGTGCCCGCATTGATTTTTTTAAAGTACCCCCCTTTATAGAAAATGTTATTTTTAAATTATTCTGAAAATTCAAGGATAGGTACACACTAAAATTCGTTAATTTTTTCCCTATTTTTAGATAACTTAAACGTATACGAAGCGGAATTTAATCAAACTAACAGTGAAATTATTGTAGAACATACGTTTATGTTATAATTGATAAACGAACTCGCTTATTGTACTATTTTAAGTAAAAAACTTTTTTTAATTATTTTTCACTTTTTTTATTTTATCCCTCTTATTTTTTTTTCAATGCGGGCACTTATTCCCAATGCGGGCACTTATTGGTCAGACACCTGTTTATTTAATGTTACGTATATTTTACATAACAGATACAAAATTTTATTTTGAGTAGTTTTAACTTAAATTCAATTAATAAATGTATAAATTAACATGTGTTTTAACTTTAAGTGTTTAACACTAAACTTCACTACAGTTAGAAATTTAGAGGAAATCAATATCAGGTAAGTAGGGGGTCTACCCAACACGGAAAAACATGGCAAGGGGTCTACGGCACAAAAAAGTTTGGGGAACTCTGATCTAGACGATGAATAGTAGGTCGATGCGGATACTTTTACAAATATCGATGTTTTAGGACCCAGAAATGCAGAATGTGCTGTTTGTTTACAATTGGTGTGGATTTCTAGATCATAAATTGGTAAAAATTGCTTTTGATGAAACAAAAGGTGATGAACCAGTTGCAATACGTGTTATATCCTTTTGTTTGCAAAATAACAAGATTCGGTACATTTCTACAGGTACGTATTATGTAAACACCATGTACGTGATATACAGACAAAACTAGAATGCCATGCATGGACAGTCGTCAAAAACAGTGAACACATCCTACTAAATATAATAGCTAGAAAATTATTATTATTTCTCTTATTTTCATTGGTCCATTTAAATAACTGACCGTCTTTTGTGAAATTTTATGAAAGTTATCCTAATTCTAAAGCACAAAGACTATATATTATTACATCTATAATGTACTCTTATTTATAAGGAAATCGTTTTTTCACTTCTTTGTTCACCATTTCAATAGAAATGACTGATATTCAGAGAGCTTCCGTCCAATTGCATTTCGATAAGGTCCTATTGGTCTAACTGACCGTCATATATTAATGTTGGTGAAATTGGTCCTAAATGACATAGAAGATGCATCACCGACTAGGAGTGCTGTAATTTTGAGCATAGTTTTACAAGTTTTAGGTCTACTCATAAACAGAAAGTGATTTAAATTTCGCAAAATAGCTGAGATATCCCTCCTTAATGTTAATAATGTGTTGAAGCTCCTCTGTTCGCTATTCATTCGTTAAGTCGTCGCGGTATTGATTCGGTGTAATATATCCCAGGCTATCTGAATTTGGTTTTGTGGAGCCTCCAATGTTTGTGGAGGGTGCGGTGAATTTTAACCTTCTTCCCATCATGTGCCATACATCTTCCATGAGGAAAGGTCTGAAGATCTGGAAGGCCACTGAAGCAGATTTACACCGGATTCTAAAAAGTTTAAACTAACATGTGCGACATGAGGTCGTGCATTGTCCTGCCGAAAAAGTGTTTCCAAAAGGGGAAGCAGATGTGGTTGTAAAACTTAATGGATAAAGCGCTGGGCAGTCATGTTACCTCGAATGAACACTAATCGTGACCTGGCGCCGTAAGCAATGGCACCCGATACCATAACACCCACAGAGTGATTAATTGGAATCTCTCTCATGTTTGCTCAAACAGAATATGGACTCATCGCTGAACACGACTGAGTTCCAGTGATGGACGCATTGTATACATCATATATAATAGACCATTATATACAATGTATATGTATACAATGTATACAATGTATACAATGTATACAATGTATACAAAGTATACAATGTATACAATGTATACAATGTATACAATGTATGCAATGTAGGCAATGTAGGCAATGTATACAATGTATACAATTTTATTCAAAAATCAAAAACTGTTTTAAATTTTGACTGAATTACAGTGGACCCCCGATAATCCGGCCCCTGTCTAATCCCGCGCCCCCTGTAATCCAACATGTCTTTGAATATTAGATACATACGTATTTGACAATCTTCGCTAATGTAGATCACGCAGCTTCGAACAGGTTACAACTTGTACGCGCCACCGCTATCGTGCTCGACGCGTAAGCATTGTTTTACTTAGTTTGAATTTGACTACTTGTGATGGCGGCCTAGCGTGCGTTCATTGTTTACTATTAATTCATTGTGTGTTAAGTATAGTACCTATAAATGTCATCACAAACTCAGAAGTGAAAGCACAAAACATTGACAACCAAAGAAAAATGTGATATTTTAGACCGCTTAAATCGCAATGAAACTTTCAGTAGTTTAGCAAGTGAATACGGCGTAGGCCGATCTACAATTTATGACATTAAAAGAAACCACGAGAAGATCAAGAAGTTCGTGACAACTACTGACTGCGGGCCAGGCAAGAGACAGACACTCAAGAAAGCTGAACATCCAGAAGTGGAAGAAGCTTTGTACATGTGGTTTCTTCAAGAAAAAAATAGGCATGCACCAATTTCAGGACCCATGTTGGCCATGAAAGCTAAGCTTTTTATAAGGAGATAAAAAAAGATGATTTTGTGTCCAGCAAAGGATGGCTAGAACGTTTTAAAAGTCGCCATGGCATACTTTTAATGAGGAGATAAACTTTCTATCTCTGTATAGAGCCCTTTAAATAAGATTTTTGCAAAAGGTGAACGATTTAAATCTTGACCCGTCACAGGTGTACAATGCAAACGAATCAGGGCTTTTTTGGCGTGTGATGCCTAACAAAACTTTCGTTTCTTGTAACGAAAAATCCGTACCTGGACGAAAAGTAAGTAAAGAGCATGTAACCATACTACCATGTCCTAACGCTGCGGGCACACACACGCTTAAGGTGATGGTTATTGGGAAATCTAATAAACCACGGGCATTCAAAAACATTGATTTACCTTATCTGTACACTATTACGGACAAAAAAGTGCATGGATGACAAAAGACCTTTGCAAAAAATGGTTTGATGAAGGCTTCGTACCTGAAGTTAGAAAATGATTAAAAATTTTCCTCGAAAAGCCTTGTTGCTTCTTGATAACGCTCCCGGTCATCCGAACAAGAACTAACAACTGAGGATAAATGCATCACTGCGATGTTTCTTCCGCCAAATTGCACTGCACTGATTCAACCAATAGACCAGAATATCATTCAGTTTGTCAAGCAAGACTATAAGAAAAACCTACTTCTGAGAGCCGTATCAAAAGACCAACCAATAGAAAAAACTTTACAAGAATTTAATATGAAAGACTTGGTTTTTGCTCTTTGTCAGTCGTGGAATGCGTTACCGTCATCAACTATTAAATCGTCTTGGAAAAAGTTATGGCCAGATATAGTCACCACTCCTAGCAACGTTCAGTGTTACTTCGGAAGTTATAGAACAAGTCGCTACTGAAACACAGATAAGTCTGGAAGATGGAAATCTGGTGCCGTGGAATGGATAAAGAGGAAAATGTTTTTCATGACGAGATTATAAAAGAGGTTTCTAATTATACAACAAACAATCAGGAAAATAACGACGACGTGATTGCAACTGCTTCACAAGTCACAGCACAAGACGCAATTAACGCCTTTGAGCTAGGTCTACAATGGGCTGAAGATAATGGTACATCCTACAACGAACTTTTACTTTTGAAAAGACTGAGGAACAAAGCTCTGATCTCCCGTTATAACAACCTTAAACAAAAAAAAAATGATGAATATTTCCAAGCTTCATAATTTGATAAATTCATTAATGATTTTGATTAATAATTCTTGATTATTTTGGTACATATGTATGTGCATTTATGTTTAATTTTATAATAAAACGTAAGCTCTTTATTGTTATTTAATTTACTAAATTCGACATACATAAACTATGTATGATTTGTACCTCAAAGTACATACATATACATAACATATATAATCTTACCATTGGATATGTAATTTGTCGGATTACAAGGTACTCTTTTGTAAAAAATTCCGGACTATAGGGGGTCTTAGGCAGTGGTCTATAATCGGACAAATTCGATAGTCCGACACCGCCCTGCATAATGATTGTCGGATTACCGGAGGTCCACTGTATATGTAATTTCTTAATATTCAATAAGCTAGTGATGTTTCAATGACAAGCTGTGATCTCATACTTATATACAATATTTTGTTTTCAACATTTCAGAGCTATTGCTTGCCAAAATTTGTTGATTGGAACTTGAAGCTCATTCGCTGTATTTGACGGACTGTTACCCTGTAGGTGGAGAATAAAGGACTGTTTATTTGACAATCCTGATGAAATCCACCCTAATGTCATCTTGTTGGTCTCCTGTCGGATGCAAAGCATTTTTCTTCTCTGCCGGGCAGTAATTTCAAATAACGAATACGAAACCCATTTGAGTGAAGACATAATACATATTTCCATCTATTTTTAATCAAGAACTTCTCCGTTCTATTTTTCCATATCCTCGATGTTTTTCCTGTTCAGCTGTTAAATTTAGCCACGGTACGAAAATAGTTCGTAAAAGGCTGCTGCCGGTCTGGTGGAATGAAATTAGAAATCAGTCTTGCCCGAGTTAAGAGCATTTTCTTCCATACGGATCTTGCATGCCGGCTGCCTGGACTAGCTGGCAGGGTATTTTTGGCAATTTGACCTTACTGGTTGTAGCCGTGCAGGCGTGGATACGTAACGATCAGTAGCGCCTAGTATTTCAGTATATCTAAATGATACAAGGTATCCTGAAAGTTGAAACTTCCCTTCTTAGAAACCACGTTTTTAATAACAAAGTTAATGTGCGGTGAAACAACAGCGAAAAAGTAAAACAAAATAAATAAAAAAGTATTCACCGTTCATCGAATAGAAATTTCAAGTAAAGATCTGTTGTGGTTATTGTTCAAAGTTGTCTGCGAGGTTCTTGACCAGCTCTTAGAGAACACGTGCAGGATTCGACCGGTATATTTCTTTTATTTTTCCACTTATACAGGGTGGGCAAAGGATGTTTTTTTAGCAAAGTTTGGGGCTATGCCGGATTCTCAATTGTTGATGGCTGTGTTCGTCAGGATGATTTTTAGTGATTTTACGATTAAAGAAAATCTTTTGAAGTTTATTCCACTATAAGGACAGGCTACTGATCAGGACTATTTTAAAAATATTATCTCTTCTGAGAAAATTCTAATATTAGGTATTAGATTTGGCTTTGATGAAAAACAAAGCGTTTTCCTCCTTGATTGCACTGGAGCTTGCTGAATGCTGAACGTATTTCAGCAGCCCAAAGTGGTCATTCAAAATGATGGACTTTGTGGTGGCTACCGATATGCAGCGCCATCTATTGGAGAAATGCCGAATAAAAAATATATTCATCCGTATATATACATGTGCATGTACTAGGCAAAACAAAAATCGTTCAGTTGAGCTTCCATCCCCTAGATGGAGGTTCTTTTTAAAGTGCTATCACACGTCGCACAAAATTTTACTAGTCAAAAAGATCCTTTAGGGGAGCTGATCGGAGTTCGGGATGGTTGACATATCAACGCATCATATCTGGTTACTGATATACAGCGCCGTCTATTGGACAGTAGCCCAAAAAAAATATATATACGTCCATATACAGAGTGTTTCAGTTTATTGTTGCATAACTTTAAGATTCGATAGAATTTTTAAAAATTAACGCATAAAGTCTATATAAACATGGGTCGAAAAATGCGTGGCTTCCGAAATACAGGGTGTTTAAATTTACTTTCTCAAATAGTTTTTTTTAAATATTTCGAACAATAGTTGAAGTATAACAGTGAAAATTGGTATACAAGGGTTTTTTGATACGACAAAACGAACCATGGGCATAGTTTTACTGTAGCCGCTAGAGGGCGCTCTCTACTGTACCTGTAGTGTATTAAAATGACCGAAAAATTTTTCTTAGTGCAATTTTTTGCTTTTTGAATAAAAAAACTGATCCTTCGCACTTTTCTGCATAAAAAAGCTCTCTTGTGAGTTTTCGTTATAGTTAGTCGTTCCTGAGATATTTCGATTTTTAAGGTTGCATTTTTAATTATTTATGGGAAAATAATATTTTTTTTACATTTTCGATTTGGGCATTACAAGTAATTAAGATGATCGTTTAGATTGTGTTTTTAAACACAGCAATAATTTCTAACTCCAAATAAACACAAAAAAACAGAATATTAATTTGTTTAATTTTCCAATATTATTTTTAACAAATTAAATTAATTATGTACAACTAAAATGCTATTGGATAGTTAGGACAAACATACAAAATCTAAAGTAGTTGCTCGAAATGTAAACCCAATTGTTCAATACACGATTCACATCTGCGAATGATCGAACGTGGTATAGCATTATTCAAATAAGGCCTTATTTCATCACATGCATTCCTAATTCTGTCTATTAGCATATCTCTTGTGGTTACGGGAGTCTGGTACACTTTTTCTTTTAGAAATCCCCACACAAAGAAATGTAATGGATATAGGTCAAGGGATCGTGGAGGCCAGGCGACTGGTCTTCCACATCCGATCCATTGTTCTGGATAATTTTCGTCCAGCCAGTTTCTAACTATTCTCGAATAATGAGCTGGACAACCATCAAGCTGGAACCAGGCCAATCTTCTTAAATCTAACGTAACATCTTCCCACATATTTGCATGTTCAGCCTTTAAAAATTCCAAGAAGGTCGCAGCATTTAACCTTGCAGGCAAAAGGTAGGGTCCAAATAGTTGATTACGGTAGATACCAATCCACACGTTCACACTAAATTCATGCTGAACATTTCTTTCCCGAACTGCATGCGGATTTTCATGCGACCAAATATGTTGATTATGAAAATTTACCACTCCACTTTTAGTGAAGCATGACTCATCGGTCCATAAAACGTTACTTAAAAACTCCCTATTATTATCAGTTCTATCAAGAATCCACTGACAAAATGTGATTCTTCGTTCTCCGTCCCCTGGCTGTAGTCCTTGCACAGGTTGCAAATGGTAAGGACGACTATGGTCATTTCTAAGAGCACGGTGAACATGGCTTGCTGAAATTCCCAAGGCACCAGAAACTCTCCTAACACTTGTGGTCGGATCTCTATCAAACTCACGCAGAATCATACGGTTAAATCTGCGCTGACGAACATTTATATTTTGCTCCCTTTGGAGATTTACAAAACCATTTTCAATTATTTGGCGATGCACTCTTACAAATACTGAGCGAGTTGGATGTCGCCTGTTTGGAAATCTTCGTGCGTATACTCTGGCTGCTTCTGCTACGTTTCCATTTACAAAGCCATACACAAAATGAATATCCGCTAACTCTTGATTGGAGAATAAAAATGGCCTTTTTATAAAACTCACAAAAACAAAACAGGTAAAAGAAACTAAAATCCGTGCATTCATAATTGCAAAAAAACGTTTCAGGTTTCAAAAGACAACAAAACCAACTGTCAACTAATTGACGTTTAACCTTATTCTGCTTTCGATTTCAAAAATATTTGCAGGCACAGCCTACTTCTAAAAATTATCGACATACTGACGTTTTAACGTTATTTCATCATAAATAATTAAAAATGCATCGAACCTTAAAAATCGAAATATCCCAAAAACGGCTAACTATAACGAAAATTCACAAGAGAGCTTTTTTATGTTGAAAAGTGCGAAGAATCAGTTTTTTTAATTCAAAAAGCAAAAAATGCACTAAAACAAAATTTTCGGTCATTTTAATACACTACAGGTACAGTAGAGAGCGCCCTCTAGCGGCTACAGTAAAACTATGCCCATGGTTCGTTTTGTCGTACCAAAAAACCCTTGTATACCAATTTTCACTGTTATACATCAAATATTGTTCGAAATATTTAAAAAAAAACGATTTTAGAAAGTAAATTATTTCGGAAGCCACGCATTTTTCGACCAATGTTTATATAGACTTTATGCATTAATTTTAAACGTTCTATCGAATCTTAAAGTTATGCAACAATAAACTGAAACACCCTTCATACATTAAATGCAATGTTTTGTCATCGAAACTGTGGCAGTTACGGTTCTGCATACATTGGAACTAATTTCATGGTTAAATCAAACACCATCTAGAAATTACAAGTTTTATTGGAAACAATGTAATATAAAAATTACTGATATTATAAAAGGCACATTTTACGTGAGCAAGTCTGCTGTTATACACATATCGAATTGTCGAATAAGCTGTGGAACACACACTGATAGAACGAGATCCCAGAGCTGTCAGATTTACATCATTTTATACAGGATAACTTTCTGGATGTGAATAGTAATATGTAAATTTGGTAAGTCTAAATTAAATAATAATGATCGGTGGAAGCTTACATCTTATTTGTTCAAAAATACACCGTTCAATAAATCATGTCGCCACCTTACAAGTAAGAAAATCACTTTAAGAAACACAGGTTGAATAGGTACCACACTTTAGTGGAAATAAAATACCAAAATTTTATATCTTCTTATATTCGTTGGTGTTTATTACAAAGGTTGGGGCGCAGGTTGAGCACAAGTCAGCCAGATACTTCCGAAGAAATGATCACATTGAGATTGTAATATAAGTTTTTTTGAAGAAACACTTTCTCATTTCATCGACTTAGGGGTAGTATAGATTGACAGGACTTGCAATAACAATTCCTTTAAGCCATTTGTAATTCAGGGTGGTCGAAAAATAGAGATATTTTAGAGGATTCCTTGTTCGAAAATATGAAAAAGAATTCTATAAACATGGGTGGAAATGCAGAGTTTCTCGATTCTATTGAAATTTGGCAGTATTATTTGTTATATTAAGAGCTTAATTTAACCCTAAGTAGATTGAAATTATTAGGTTCAGCGGCGTCGCGGGGGGCACCTTAGCGAATATTATTGGCAAAAAATGTACGCCACCGCCTTTTTTGTAACTTTAATATTTATTGTTTAATTGAGCATCTGCCTCTTATATTTTTTTCGTATCTCACTTCGTTAGAGCTTATAGAGACTTTTTTCATATTTTTTAACAAGTAATCGCCCTCTAAATCTCCGTCTGTTTTTCGAACACCCTGTATAATTACCTCATCCAAATTATACGCTATGTGCTTAGCTATCTAGAGAATTTTATCAACTCTCTGCATCGGGTGTAAATACCCAAATTCTAACCACTCTCAATCCTTTGGATTGCAATAAATGGAGTAGATACAGTAAAAACAATTGATCAGCATCACTTGAAGAGCGCACGCTGAAAGTTTGGTACAAATTTTCCGGTAACAGTTTTTCCATAAGAACGATGCGTGGTCCATTCAAATATCCAGTCGTTTCAGAGATTATGAAGGGTCATTATTATGTTTTTCATAAGAAAATTACCACAGTTAAAAAGTCAGCCATTATAAAATACGTAGATCTGATGGCGCTGGGACTTGGACTATAACTAAAAACAAAAAAAAGACAACAATCAGTTAATAAGTTAAGAACTATACATTCATCTACAGTATCAACTAAGTACTTGTATTCAAGATAACGAATCTTTCATAAACAAATCAAACATCACCACTCTCAAATGTTGAACTATTTTAAATAGAAAACGAGTCTACTAATAATTTGTAAGAGAAAAATACGAAACTCAAGTTCGATTCCAATGCATCTCAACAGTTGAAAGTAAGATCAGGAATATATTTTCCATGAGTATGAATTGTTAACAAGAACATTAACCAATGACTAGGATGTTTACATACAAGTAGTGGCCAGGCGATCTAAATAAAATAACAAAGACTAAGAAATAGTACAAATATAATGAAATGAAATTAAGTTCGGTTCGATGCTCAGTCACAATCATTATTCCACCTGAATCAATATAGTTTTAGCCTCAGGCAGTTTTTGTTGTCTAAGGTCCTGGCTGTATATTATTCGCCGACGAAAAAGTCGGTTAATAGAGGGTATCAAGCAGGATAGATCTAATTTATTTAGAAGCTGTACGAGTATCTGTTCATAGAGTCAAAAAGTTTTCGTCATTCTCAGCCATCTTGGGAAATCTTCCAAAAATTGTACACTTTCTGTTTTAGCCGAAAATAATGTTAATCGTAGGTGATGAGGTTAGGCTACGCTGAGGGTGACCTTCTAGTAATTGTCATGAATAGTTTTTAGATGCCAAAACGAAAAGACGGTTGAGGCTATATGACAAAAAAAAGATAAAAATATATGATTCAAATGCACTAAAATGCGAGTTTTTCTAATAATGGAGGTCAAAGATGGCTTGCGCCCTGTCAAATGTGGATTGTTTTCAAATTGCTTATACCTATATCAAAAACAAAGAATTTGAATGAAAGTATGTAATACTACAGTTTTTGTAAAGGTAAAATATACTAAGTGACATGCAGGGTGGCGCATCGAAAATGAAACAGACGCATTTACTGGCACCTCAGTTTTTTTTTTTTGGAAAAACGCTCAGTTTGCAAAAAATCATGTGTAGCCCCCTGGGCGGGGGTGACACCAACCATAAAATCTTTAATGGAAAGGGGGGATCGAGTGATACCTTATTTTAAAGGTCTTTCAATTCTCTTTATAATGATGTAAAATTAATGTACTTCAGTTCAGTAGTTTTGAAGATTTATTGATTTAAAGCTTAAGGTAGACTTTAATAGGTACATCCGATTAGTTTGTACTACTTTCAGAAGAAATTTGACTAAAAGAATTTACTTAGTAAGTAAATGCTTTTCTTCACTACGCCCATGGTTTGTTTGTCATTTTGTTGTTGAAAATACCTTATGGAACGTTTTTTTTCTGTGGCAAAAAAGTTATTTCTTGAAGAAAGATGAAATATCTCGTACTTATTTTAAATAGGAATTTAGTACATAGTTTGCGAGTGATTTGATCAAACTTTGTTGCTAAAATAACTTGTAACGCTAAATTAACCATGGTATATTCCACAACAGAAAGAATTGAAATTATCGAAATATTTTTCGGAAATAATCAGTGCGCTAATAGAACAGCAGAAATATTTAATGAGCGACGTGAGAACAGTAACGTGCATCGAAAATATGTTCTAGAACTTGTAGCTAAATTTCGGGAAACTGGGTCAGTCGCCAATAAAAAACGCAACATTGAAAATCCCATAAGGAACGAAGCAATAGAAGTGGGGGTTTTAGGGCAAGTTTATGTAGATCCTACGTTAAGAACCCGCAAATTGGAGACTGTGTGTGGTCCTAGTGGATGTACTGTCCAACGGATTCTAAAGGCCCATAGTTTTCATCCGTATAAAATTCACTTTGTACAAGAACTTAATGAAGACGATTTTGATCGGCGATTACAATTTTGTGAAGATATGAGTGAACGAATTATAAACGATGAACATTTTCTATTCAACACTTGCTTTTCCGACGAATGTTTCTTTTTCTTAAATGGCGTAGTAAATCGTCATAACTGCCGATATTGGTCCGATTCTAATCCCAGAATTTATCATGAGGTTCATATACAGCACCCACAAAAATTAAATGTTTGGGATGGAATTTTTGGCGATCATTTAGTTGGTCCTTTTTTCTTACTTGGAAATTGGACCGGTGAAATGTATTTGGAATTACTAGAAGACGCCATAGATCCTGCATTAGCAGCCATAAATGAAAATCAGAATGATCAGCGGTTCATTGCGAATAAGTTGATGTTCCAACAGTATGGTGCCCCACCACATTACGCATTACGTGTTCGACAATATTTAGATCAGACGTTTCCAGATCGATGGATTGGTAGAAGAGGTGCCATTGAATGACCCCCAAGATCGCCAGATTTATCACCTTTGGATTTCTTTATGTGGAGTCATTTAAAAAGCAAAATCTATGCTACTCAGCCAACATCATTAGAAGACCTGCGACAAAGAATTGTGAATGAGTGCCTTCAAATTACTCCTCAAATATTGCAAAATGTGCGGCAACGTTTTGAGCAAAATCTTTATTGTTGCATGGAGAGTCATGGTGGCCATTTTCAACATTTACTTGCCTAACGAGTCAGTTCGTTCTTCATTTTTAAATTACTTTGCTGCCAAATGTTTTGATCTCCACTAATGATGATGTATTAGTTTTATTTAAGCTTTAAATCAATAAATCTTCAAAACTACTGAACTGAAGTACATTAATTTTATATCATTATAAGGGCGTTTCTCTGTAAACTGGTCAACTTATTTGGAAAAACTGTCTTGCCCACTTTTTGCTTAAATGTTTGAAACATCTTACTTAGGAGATGTATACTTTCAAGCTTAATGACAAACCACAGGGAACCCAAAAATATAGGTCATAATTTAGGAAATATTAAGCATTTTCTAAATTATTGACACAGGGGACTGTTAGTTATGGCAGGGGACTGTGTACTCAAATTAAAAATACCAATATATTAGCAAAATTAAATATTTTATTTTCTCTAAACTTGGATATTAACAATTGAGGAGCAGACTTTCAAAAAGCGTTATGCTATGACCTGCTTAAATTGAGGAAAGTGGAGAAAACTGCTGTGACAACATGCGTAGCTGCAAATGCTTGATTTTGGTAAATCAAATACCACGAAAATAGATAGGCTTTGATGGTGAAGGAGGATTACCTGGAAAACAAAGAAATTCCATTTTTTGATCAAAAGTAGATTCTATTTGATGCACTTTGATTGTCCGAAGGTGAAATAAGTCCTTCTGTTTGGGAAACGGTAACTTAAGTCAAAATACCTTTATTCCATTTACCGATGAATACAATCTTATAAAAAATAGGCTTAGAGAAAAATATTCAAACTTTCACTCCACCATCATCCTCGATGCAGTTACATACTTCTTGGGCATTATCTTCATATTGTCTTAATCACTATTCTCTTGTAGCTCTTCAAGGGGCTCTGGAAAAATAGGACGAAGCCATTGCAATTCCTCATCCTCACGCCATCTTTCTGTGGATAGCCGCACCAAAAGGTTATGCAGACTTTTCAACTTTGTGCTTTTTATTTCATGATTCAAAGGCAACCTTGGAAAACTCAAGTTTTCAATCTTCTTGTTTTTTCTAACAACGTCAAGTACTTGGCGTTGGCATCGTCATTTCTGTAAAAGTTTCTGTTTTCACCGCTACATGTTGTTTTGAAGTCCGTTTTATCAAGATTGGCTTAGCATGACTGATTGATTCGATTTTCTTAAAAGTGGACAAAGCGGATTTCAGGTCATATATTTTCCAGTCAGTCCCAAGCTTTCGAACCAATCCGACTTGAGAATGCAACTCCCAGTATTGTTCTGGTGACTTTAGTGTGCTATGGGACCTAATAAGCTTCTCACATCGTCCAAAAATGCGATCCGCTGGCAGGTATGAATGACCTCATTGGAAAACCATTCTTATAGATTGCAGGCCTATTGGTGCTTCTTTATGTAGCCACATCATTAGCATGTGAACTATGTGACTGTTCTTGTTTTGGCCTCCACATCCATCAGAGAACAACGTCAATTCTTTCAAGTTTTTTGGAAATTCAGCCTTTCTGAGAAAATCGTAAAGAGCAGAACCAACTTCTGTGGCACCCCTTCCTGCTTGGTGTTTTAACCATGAGTAGAAAATTGGTCGCTTGCAAGGTATGTCTGTGATACAGAAAACATACAAGGAGAGTTGCTGTGCATAGAATGCCTCTGAAATCGGTACTTTAGGGAGAGGTTGTACCTGCTGAAGATCGAAGCAGAACGCCATGCCGTCTTCAGATTTTTCCTTCATCATTTTAAAAAACTGCTTTGCTCGTAACTTATGTACTCTTAAATTTGTAATAACAGTTTGCTTTTCGCGTTGGCCGTTCACTATAGAGAGCAGGTTTAGGTGCCACGTACAGAATCCACAAACATCGGTCGCCGGTGTACCGAATCCTATGTTAAAGTCATTCGAAAAAATGCGACTAAAGTACTTGTAATTTACTTTATAGCTTTCTTCAACGCTATCATTGTATAGCCTATGTAGTATGGTGATATTGTACTCTTCAGATAAATATATCATTTTAGATTTCGCTCTTCCGTAGTGACTCTCTTGCCCCTTTAAATTTGCGATGAATGCTTTCACTTTTTTGCGCTTTTCCACATTTTTCTGCGAACGTCTGTCACCACCACGATTTTCAGAAATACCCGATCCAGCTTTCATTTTCCTAGAAATATTTTGTATGCGTTTCTGACTAATACCAAAAATTTTTAAAAACATTTTCTGACAAATTCTTTTCTTGCTGTTGGAGCTCCACACATTGTAATGCACAGTAATGTTGCGGTTTCTAGTAAAGCTTTGGTCTGAACTCTGAACGTTTCTTTCTCCTAGGAGTTCCAATTTCAATTAAATGAGACAGTTTCGTATCTTGCTGAACCTTGTCTTTTTGTGAATAAAACTTTTGTCGGCAGCGCCTTAGATCTTCGAAAGGAATATCCTTACATGAAACTTTTTTATTTCTGCCATGCTTACAGGAGACTTCGAAACCATCAAGGTTGGGATCAGGGTTATCGTATCTAGAAATAAAACCGCAAACTATGAGAAAATTCCCCAAATAACATAATTTACTATATCTACCGTATTTCTTTCTGCCGCTGCTGTGATGTTGCACCCCATTTTCGTTTTCTACTGCCTCTGTCTTGATCACCAACAATATGCTCTTCACCCATAATAGTGGTCCGACCGATCTAACCCACTCGATATCACTATGCTAACTGAAGCAAGTTACGACAGGATTACAATCTTGAGACACGTGTCCAAACAAAAGGGTTTACTTGCTGCTCATCCAAAATATACTGGACAAACAAAAAGCGTTCATGCACTAACTAGCTTATCAAAGTCTATTTGTTTGTTCAACGAAGAAAAAAGTAACGCTCTTTGAAAGTCTAGACGTATTAACGGGCGTTATATTTATCGTTTAACATCGTTTTGGATGTCCAAGGAGCGGTTGACAAATGGAGATGAACCTATACATTTGATCGCCATCTTTTGGCCAATTTCGTAAAAACTGCACTTAATGCTTTTTGAAAGTCTGCTCCTCAATTATAGTAATTCTTCGGTAAACAAAAAAAAGAATCAATACTTTTATAATACTCTTCTTACAGCTGCATAACTATGTAAGCTTAAGGTAACATAATCAGTCTTTTACAGTCAGTCATTAGTTTAAAAAAAACTTAACGTTTTTCAAAAACATTAATAGGTGGATCAAATTTATAAAATAGTCTATTTTTCCCTTTGAAAGTGAGTTTGGATTAGGTAATTTCTTCATCAATCACTTGATCCATTGTAATATCTGCTATATCGTCCGGATCCATTCTAAATGTTTGACCTTTATTATCGTAAAGCTTTAAAAATGTGACTCGAATTTCCCCAACTTCATCGATTTTGTTTATTACGCTTACATATCTATATTGCATATTTTTTGAGACTCATTCGACTAGGATGTAATCTCCATTGATGAGTGCTTTAGCTGCGGAAGAGCTGGGTCCGGCTTCATCAGGTTCTGAGTCAGTGAATTCTTCAGCAACTGTTAGTTTAACTTTATTTTCATAGTTTAATTTTCTGATGTTAAAGTGAAGGCAACCATCTTTGTTACAAAATCAGCTTAGATGTTTCATCACTGACTCTATTTTAAGTCCAAAGAGTTATAGAATTTACCGACGACGCGTCCTCCGAGTAGTTTTGCTTTTTTTATTCTTCTGTAATTAATCACTTTTGTGTTTTCCATACGCCATAGTTTGTATTTTTCCACTAGTTTTCTGAATACTACTTTGGTCAAAAGCGTTTTTTCTTTCAATGTTTCTATGTTTGAGAAGTTTTCTTGTAATTGTTCTTTTAACACCTTACCAAACAATGCCTTCTTGACTAGATCTTTCTTAGTTTCTGGACTATGTGCTAGTTAGTATCTTTACACATTTTTCTTTCCTTTTTCATCAGTCTCGAAACACGTTTTCTATATTGAAATAATTTTCTTTTTAGTAATTTAATCTCTTCATCTTTTTTCTTTTTGTTTGATATCTAAGTTTCTTCTCCCTATTAATTCGTTTTTTGAACATATCAACATCTTGAGGTGTTGTTGGTCGGGATGAGTGCGATGTTTCCGAATCTGGTGTATTTTCTCGCAGATAAGTGTTAGTTATATTTGTCAACGCTTTCTTCTTATTTCGATAATCAGAACAATGCTCTCTCCATTTCTTTTTAGCCTCCCGGTGTTCTCGTGGCGTCATATCTTTAACAAGCTTCCTAGTCCCCTTTTCTTTTTCTTTTTTAAGGTATTTCAGGTGTCCCTTTTCTCTTAGGTGTTCCCTTCTCTGCGAGTCGTTCTTGAGGCGCTCGTACTTTTTCCATTTAGCATCCCTTTTCTTTTGTAAAATTTCCTCCGTGGTCTGTGTTTTCTTCCTTGGTGCCATTTTGTAATAATATCGTGTGCCTATAACAATGGTGCATACACATTAGGACAGTCCTCTGGAAGTAAGAACAATCCCCTGTCCTGTTTAAATGCAGGGGACTGTTGCCACGGGACTGTTCAGTTAGATTAGATTGATAAGTAGCACATTATCCATTTGTTTTATTTTGATGCATACAATTGAAAATTATCTATTTGAATAAAGTATATTATGTGAAATATGACTTAAAAACACAGAAAGGAATTTAAATATTTCTTACCAGAGGACTGTAGGCTTTTAGGTTCTGACGCGGGTAACTCGGAGCAACACGTATGCAGCACTGAAGAAGATGGCCTCAGGGCCCCTCTGGTAGCAACCGCGTCAACTTCACTCTGTTCGCGTTTCGTTGAACGCAATAAAACGATATTTTTGCGTTCTAGGCTTTATGCCACGTCATTTGAAATATACACAGGGGACTGATCGCTATATGGTGTGACCAACTCAAACTAATCTGTTTTTTCTTTTTTTAATAGATAAATGAAAAAATAAGCACTGTTAATAATGCCGACTGTATTATGTTTAAATTAATACTTGAATTAGTCAATTTCTAAACATATTTGTTTCAATACCTGAATCAGAAGCCTTTGCAATGCTTTGGTGACATGCCAGAGGACTGTTTTTTGAGCATGACAACAATGTTTTTAGAATATTAACAGTAGTTTATATAGATAATTCATACTAAGGACAGGTGGACTAGATCATTATGTTTTGAAAATAGTAATGAAACAAATAATAATCTCTTCTATTTTACATTATTATGGTAGGAGACAACGAGTTGACCACTTCACAGAGAAACGCCCATAAAGGGAATTGAACGACCTTTAAAATAAGGTATCACTCGACCCCCCTTTCCATTTAAGATATTGGGGGTGGTGTCACCCCCGCTTAGGGGGCTGCACGTGCTAACGTGATTTTTTGCCAAACTTGTGTCCCCCTCGAAAAAAAATCGACGGGTCTGAGCGCTTTTAGAAAAAAAACTAAGCTGCCAGTAAATGCGTCTGTTTCGTTTTCGATGCGCCACCCTGTATAAAATGTAACACGTAGAATCACTTATTGAATTCTGATAAAAACTTGTAAACATATTTGCTATCATGGAGATATACGCCGATAAAATGTTTTATTAGAAAAAATGTTTTGTGTCAGAACGCCCATAACTGGCCGATAGGACCGCTCCTTTGACTCTCGGATTGTTGAACAATCTACATGAGGTTCGTACTGTCCTTGGGCAGTTCAAAAATCGGATTAACAATGTTTCTTTAAAACCCTGGAATACTAACCTTAATTTTCAATCCGTTAATACTAACCTACGTAAAAATTACGATGGCGCTCTTAAGCTAACAGACATCCAATGGATATCGAACACAGTACTGTGATCACACTGTCTTAATAGAAGACTAGAGGAGAGCCCATCGAAAATAGTCGTAGTGCGATAATAAAATCACGAGCCAAAAAACAGTAGCGTCGTAAAATTTACGATGGTTAGCACTCCAGGGTTAAGCTCCCCATAGCAGCCGCGGTGCCCTGGCATTTAGCCTTTTGCCTGCGCGGATGCGCCGGTAAAAAATATGAATAAATGATATTTTCTAACTCTTGTAAACGTTTTTCAGTGTGTACGAATGCAATGCAAAACACCAGGCAGACCTTTCCAGCCTAGGGTTGCGGTATTCAAAGCATAAAAATGCAAATTATCAAATTATAATTTTGGCAGCGATATCTAATCATGACCTCCGTTTGATTGGTGGTGCCGAAGCATAGGTACCACGTACCAATATCCTTTTCCGGCCATTTCGAGCATTTCGGCGATGTGAGCGTGCATATCCGCACTGGCGTTACCGTACAGCAGTTCCTGTGTGATGTGTGCCACAAAGTACTCACAGTAGGAAGCGGTACCGTTCCGACTGGCAACTGGCGACGAACGTGGCCATCATGAAAATTATGGTAATATCGGTGGCATTCGGTAGCAGCGCTTCTGTTTATGAATTATGTATATTGGTAACGTCCGAGGAACAGGAATGAACGGTAATGGGCCTTTGTTGTGCACCAGAAGTAGATTTATTCGTGATATACCGCTATAATGTAGGACTGAAATGTCAATTATTGAGATCGGTGATTGTATGCTCCCAATATTCGACGCTAAATAATCCAAATAGTTTCTTACGCAAGTCTAAGGGCCATATCGTCAGTCGTTCCTACAATTGTATATGACCTTGATTTTCATAGTTTTTCCCGTCCTTCAGAAAGACAGGGGCAGCGCTCTATTTTGAGGTTATGTTACAAACATCTATTGCATCTAATTGTTCGGGCTTTTGATTTATATCATATATAGTCGACGTCAAGCCGAAACCGGGTGATAGGCAAAGTCATAACAGCTATCAGAAAAATATTTAAAAAAATGTTATGTATGTGTTTTGAAAATTATAGGTCTTTGAAAAAGATAGAGAAATTTCACACCCTACGGCAGTCTGTCAACTCCTGTTACTACAAATATTATCTTTTTTTGTATTTTATTTTTACAATGTAATGATGAATAATGCATCTTCAAACTGGTGTCTCAACCTTACTGCCAACTTTTCTCGTTCAGGAAAAATTGCCACTTATTTCCCAACCAAGTATTCCAAAGTAAAACTTTGCTCAACTTTAACTGGCTGTACTGGAAAAAAATGTACTACGAGAGTTTGGCAAGTAACCTTAAAAGTTGGCGCATTTAATAACGATTCCGAAATGGTATAACACTTAGAAGATTACTCGTTAACTTATGCACAATGTTTATTTGAAAAAAAAAACTGATGAACATTTTTCAAAATTTCCTAATTAAACAGCGATTATGAAAACGCACAAGGATCCTTAAGAATAACTGTTTGCACAACAGTGGGCGTCAAAATGCTGCTGATGATGATTTACCTTTATAGCAAATGCTCAAACTGTTTTCCTTCAGCCGCAATACACGCTCGACATCTTCTTAAAAAAGATCGGGTTATTAAACGAGCGAATCCACGGTTATTAACAAACTCAGCTGCTTCCAATAGTCTTTGCCGTAGCTCAGCTACATTTTGAATCGGCTTGAAATACACTTTTTCTTTTACAGTTCCCCACTAAAAAAAATCTAACGGATTCAAATCTGGTGACCGGGCTGGCCACGATATTGTACCAGACCGCCCTATCCATCTGCCTGGAAAGTTTTGATCGAGATACTCTCTCACTGAGAGTGCATAGTGCGCTGGGCAGCCATCATGCTGAAACCACATGTCCCT